CTCCCCTGTAGCCCCTTTGGAAGGTGCTGGAAGGTCCCTCTGGAGCCTTCCCCAGGCTGAACAGCCCCAGCTCTCAGCCTGTCCCCGCAGCAGAGCTGCTCCCGCCCTGGGATCCTCTCGGTGACCTTCCTCCGGGCTCCCTCCGGGAGAGAGTCCCGTCCTTCCTTCAGCAGCTACAGGGTTACAAAGACCAGAACCATCACATTCCCGCAGTTTGGCTTGTTCAGTAGCTCTGTATCTTGCCGGTTTGGCAGCGTAACTCAAGCCCTTTGGTGAGCTCCTGGCTGCTGAGCTGAGGCACACAGCACTTTAGGTGTTCTAGATCTGTATTTCCAGCCTGGGGAGTTTATGTTGCGGCCCCGGCTCCAGCTCTCGGTGTGCCCAGACCCCGCTTCCCCCACAGCCTGCACTTTCCTGGCGCTCCGTCTGTGTTTGGGTCTGCCCAACGCTGCTGCCTTCATGGCTATCGACAGCAGCATGGAAAGGCTGGTCCTTGCAAGGTCTGCGTTCCAGAACCAGGCTTGCCCACTGGAAGGAGAGATGCTACCGAGGAGTTACTGTTTCTGGCTCGTTAGGCTGATGCAGATCCACTTGTTTGGGGCACACGCTTTCCGAGTGGTGGTTTAATGAAGTGACATCCAGACCTTGCTGCTCTGTATCCTCCAGTGCCTGAGAGTGAGATGAAGCTACAAGGTCACTGGCTCATTAGCGTTTGTGGAGGAGGGCTGAATTCTGCACTAGCATTGCCTGTATAAATTGGATTAATTGCATTATTATGAATCAAAACCAGCTATGCAATCACAGAAGCCCTCTCATTTAAAGCCTGCAAACATTAATGGGTGAGGCACTATGTGATTCATGTCAGTTATTATCATGCCCACAAGCAGACGAGCATCACACTGTGGTGATCAGAAAGCCTGTTCTACTGAAGGGGTGAAAAGTTCAAGCCTTTAATCAATAATCCCAGAGATCCAGAGAGGAAATTAAGCTCAACTCAAAAGCAGCCTGTGGAGTTGGGTTTGGTGGGTTGGTTTTTTTTTTTGTGATTTGGGTTTTTTTGTGAGCTCTATGCTAATACAGCACACACTTTCTGCTAGGGATACAAATGGATGGGAAAATAAATGAGGATGAAACATGGTGGGGAAGGGTCAAGAAGCTGAAGATGAATGGTTGTGTATTCAGAGTTAAGTCAATATTTTAGTGATTTTGAAAGGAGTGTCATTCAGTGCGGCTCAGTGGAGCACTGAAGGATTCACATCACTGTTCAATTAGTTTGGTTCACGTGTGAGGCAATTAACTTTAACCCGCTTTTGCATTGCTTGTCCTGTTACAGTATATATGTGTTTTAGAGAACTCCCTGAAGATACTGAACTACTTAAAAAAAACACATTAACATTCCAGTAGTCTGTGCTGTAACATACAGCATTTCCCTGTTTTTCAGTGGGCCATATATATGCATGCTGATTGTTGGTAAATGCTGACATTTTTATTGTGTTGTTACTGGTTTGTGAGTAATTAGGTATAGGGTTTCTGTATCTTGTCAAACAACAACAACAAATTGTTTCAAACTTCAAGTAATATAAGTGTCACAGCCCTTGTAGCACTTACACAATTTTCCCAAGGATTTCAAACTAGTGACAGGGTAATGCAGTTCTACAGGAATTCACTCTCTCCATGATTGAACAGAGTTAAGGCTAATGATAGTCAAGAGGAAATCAATGCCTTGAGGTACTGGCTTGCAATAGGGAGGAATGTCTAAAATACTTCATAGGACTGGTGAAAAACTTATTTTCTTTTTCTAAAAAATGACTGGAAAAAAAAGCCTGATCTTCACGTTATGTACAATATGTTTAGTTGCAAAGACCAGCTGCTTCTTTTATGTAGTTTTTTTCACTATTGAAGAGCAACTTAACTCATTCTCTCTGGTAGATTTTCTGTTTAAAAAACCCCACACGTTATTATATGTAGAGTTTAAAAAGATCAGATCTAAACAAGTATTTGTCATATGTATTTTGAATTTGCTTTGTGTCTTTAAGATGAATCAAAATATTTTTCTTTTCAGACACTGCTTCTCTCTTTCATGAATAGTGTTTACTGCAGAGTAAAGGAAGTTGTCTAAATCTTTTAACCTTGGCTATTGTAATTAGTATATTGCAAAACAGAAACAGGTATCTCCGGTGCCTTGTTCATCTGAGATGAATAAAGTGTTCAAGACTCTGAAAATCAGCATTTCTCCTAATCAATGTCAACTGCTTTTTTCATTGATGAAAGTGGAAAGATGGTAAAGATGTGAATAATTAGCTTTCTATCCTGTTTTTACAGAGCAGTGATGGATTGAAAAAAATACCCCACTCAGACTTGTTTTTCTAGAAAATTGAAAAAAAAAAGCTTCTGCCAAGCTACTCCCCAAAGGAGCTGCTCAAGGAAGAAGAGTGAATGCAAACCATGGATTGAGTTGCTGGATGTGGTTTAAATGCAATTAAGAAACTCTGATCTGTTTCTTTTAGGGTTAAAAAAAAACAACACCCTTGTAATCTGTGGAACTTGACACTCACTTTTGTGATAGTGCAGTAGGAGAATAAATAAAGAGGTGAATTCATTTGACAAGGCTCTAAGGGAGCAGAAGTGAATTTCATCTATATTTAAGTGAAGTCTTCACCTCCACTTGCCTCCTAAGGATCGGATTTTGGTTGGGCCCCGCATGGTAAGGGGGAATTTTCATGCACTTTCCCTCTCCCTCTAAGCAGATAAATTGCTGTGCACATTAGGGCTAAGAAGATTACCAGATGCCCTTTGGGGCAAGCTACTCCCCAGTGTTGGAGGAGTTAGGATTTCTCTTCCTCTGTTCACACTACCCTGCAGAAGGTAACAAACTTGTGGCCATGTTCCCCCAGTTGCTCCTTCGTCATCTGGGAAACGTCCTAGAGGGTGCTTCCACACCCACCTCAGCCTCCCATGGGAAATAAATGTGCCCCTCTCCTTGTCCCATAACACGACAGGGAAACACTGCTGCCTTTTCCATTGCAAGTTACCCTCTCTCAGCACTACAGAGAACAGGTACTATTATTCCTCAAACTGACTAACCAATTAACGTGATCATGTTAAACTCACAGCAGTCTCGTCCTCAACCCATACTTAATTTTTACAGTTATATCGATTGGTCTGTTAAAGGATATCAGCTGTCCCTGCAAAAAAATTGCCTTGGTTATATACTTAGAGCATTGTACTTCTAGGAACATCAGTGCTGCTCCTGGGATTGCAGCAGATCACACTGTTACTTTAATGCACTGCCATAAAGATACAGAATGCAAACCAAAGAGAAAATCATAGAATCATAGAATGTTTTGGCTTGGAAGGGACCTTAATGATCATTTTGTTCTAACCCCCTACACCTCCCGCTACATCAGGTTGCTCAAGGCCCCATCCAAGCTGGTCTTGAAGACCTCCAGGGAGGGAGCACCCACAACCTCCCTGGGCAACCTGTTCCAGCATCTCAACACCCTCTCAGGAAAAAACTTTTTCCTAATGTCCAACCTGAATCTCCCCTCTTTAATTTTCAAACCATTGCCCCTTGTCCTCTCACTATACACCCGTGTAAAAAACCCTACCCCAAAATAAAACTAAGGATTCCCTCCTGTGTGCACCTTTAAAAAGAAGAGGTGTAGAAATTTACTGCCCAGGGTAGGGTGCATTTTCTCTTAAGATCTTAAGATTCCTTCCTGTCACAGCTCAAGCTTCCACTGTGCTTCAAGGAGAGGATTTGTCATTCCCACCAATAAATCAGTAATATTTCCTGTACATGTTATTGTGCACTCCTTTGTATGTTAATAAGTATTTGGCTTGCAAAACCACTGGCATTTCCCCCTCACAAAACTGTTTGTTTTACACCCTCAAATCATAAAGGACTCCACACTGCACTGCACACTTGTACAAACTCACATGGGGCTGGCTCTCTGAGGATGGGCAGCAAGGTTTGGCCTTGCAGCTTTAGTACAGTAATTTCAATCATCGTCTTGCAGTGCCACATCAAAGCTGTGTGGTTGCCTCTTTCAAGCAGAGAAAGGCTGAAGATGGTGCCAGCAGAGGAAGAAAGCCACAGAGAGAGGAGACAGTGCTCTGCGCCAGCTGGAAACCTTTTTCCCTAGGGCTGGATGGTGAGCTTGCCTCAGCAGCTCAGCCTGTGCACAGGCAGTCCCAAAGCAGCCACTGGAGTCAGCCTGATTTCTCTCTTTAATATTAGCTATGAAATCAAGCAATGGAAACTGTGTAGTAATTTTTAATAGCCACAGATATTTAAAAAGCTGCATCTTCCCAGATAAGGGCAGTATTTCCAGGAGGATCTAAGCATTTAGGGAGCAAAGCGGCATTATCAGAAGTGAAGGATATAAGTTTAAATGTAGAATAGTATATTTCATTCATCTGAGCAAGATTAATAGTTCGAATCTAGAAATCTACTACAGTAACTACTGCAGGAAAACAGAGTTAAGAGTGATTTGTACACATAAATCCATGTTTCAGTACACTTATTTTGGAGTAAATCCTAATTTTCTCATTTAACGTAATTCACATGATTAGGATTAAGGATGTTTACACACTGAGTTGTTCCAAAATGTGTATTTTATTATATTTGCAATCATGGACATGGACTTCAATAGTCTGCCATATTATAAACCACTTTTAAAGATATGACTTGAAGTTTTAAAACAATGCCACTTTATAAAATGTTATTCTCTATTAGCAGGCTGTCCTTATCGTTCCACTTGAAGGATATTTTTAGTGCTTGGACTATTTTGTAGACTACTCCTGTAATGCCCAAGTATTATTTATACATTGGCATTTTGGTGCCAAAGCACAGTGTTTTCACAAGCTGCACCAAAGTCAGTATATGTATCCCTGTCTCACTCAGAAACCATCCTCACACTGAGACTTCCATGTGAATTCAGACATTTAAGTTCCCATTTTTGAAGTTTTAGATGTACATTCTTTGCAAAATTCTTGACATTAATGTTCAAAGAATCCCATAAACATGGATTAATTCTGCAGGTTGTATTAATAAATAGGCTTTCAACCATTTATCTCCTGTCACCTGGAAGCTCTAGTGTGAGTAAGATCTAAAACCAGGTTTTTCTGTTTCTTGTTTTAAGTCCATCTTTTAATGAAATATTAAAAATGCCGCTTTGAAAGACAAGCAGTCTGTGAATTTTCATTTAAATTTAAATTTTGGTGAATTTAAAACACTTGTGTTTCCTATAAATGTAATTTTTTCTCAACAGTTTGGTCAAATGTGAGATTTCCTCTATTCTTTTTCATGCATAAAGTGTTTGAGAAAAGAAATTTAATAAAAGCTCTGCAACTACAGGTCAGCTCTTGCTTTTGGGAGCTTGTGCATCATTTGATACACAACCCATTCACAGCAAAGCAGTTGCTGGTTACCATGATGGGAAAGAACATTTTTTCTTTATAGCTTGTGTCCTTGTATTTCTGCCTGCCAGCAGTTTATGTTCAAATGAACTTCTTGCCAAAGTTGTTGCTACTGCTTCTGGCCAAATGTTTTTGGGAACAGGGAAGCCTTTGTACATGTCTGGAATTTTTTTTTTAGCTGAAGCATCCATACAAGAAACTGCACTCAGTCCAGAAAACAACTAAAGTTGGATTAGTGTGAAGACATAGCATTTCAAATAATATTTTTCACTTCACTGATTGCCTGGAGGATTAGAGCTCTCTGCAGAACATACTGAAAGGTCACCACCTCACTGCTTTTATCCACTGCACTTCAGTGTGAAAATAAAGCAAGCGATGCTTGCTGTTCAGTGCCAATACTTTGTGGGTCTTCCTGTTCTGTAATTATGACTCAAGAAAGGATGACTACATGGATTCAGGCCTAAGCTGTAATAATAAGACTTGCCCTGAACATATGGCAGGAAAGAGACATAGAATTTTACATAGAGTCATTAATCTTCAAATTTGAAACTAGACAGGTTTCACAGTTAAATTCAAGCTCTCTGCATTTGGCCAAGATAAACCTGTTGTTCTTGGAGAGAGAAGGAAGTGACTTCTGTTGGGGAATGGATGCATCCTTTTTGTGGGAGGAGTAAAAAATGCCACTTTTTTGGTCACTGGGGGGGATAAGTAGAAAACAGCATAAAAAACTAAGTGAAATTATGTACAATCTTCAGACAACAGGTAAAAAAGGAAAAGTAGGAAGGAGAGAAAATAACTTTTGAAATAGGGATTTGAGGTCATTTAACTTAGTTTAATCACTGACTCCATTCAACATTCAGAATTAAAAGGAATCCATTGCTCTTAAACTCTTGCTCAGTTCATTAGTTCATTTTCCCCCCTTAGTTGTTAAGCTGCTCCTCCTTGTCATTTCAGCCTGATTAATAAATCACTCCACAAGATAACTAAGGGCTCGAAATTTTTGTTTCCTCAGATTGGTCTGACTACTCTTGATATTGTTGAATTACCCTTAGGTCTGCAAGTAAGGTGCTTGGGTGGAAAGAATCTGTGTAGGACTGCTTTTATGTTTAGCAAATAATGGTATGTAAGGAAGAGGGACATTAGTTACCATAAATCAATTTGTAATTGAGACTCTGCAGCCTATGATTTACTTAAAAGTTTCAGAGTTATATCCTGTACTCATTTACAGCTGAGTAGGTTTGGAATTACTTCCTTAACGTCATTGAAGTTATTCCTGGTATAAAGCAACAAGTCCAATGTGTTGAGTGGTCATTGACCTACTTACTGCTACTGTGAGCAGAATAAATGTAGAGCCGTAAATCTTTCTCTTCAGTTTAAATATGTCCATGCACTTTTGTTGTTTGGGTGGGAGACGGAGCAAGGTGTGAATGGCAGTGCTCCTTATTTAGGAACATCTTTGTTTCAAAAACAAAGTGTCTACTTCTGACTGAACTGTTTTTGAACTCCTTACAGCGTGCCTTCTTGAAATATTTTCAAACTGAGGTGAGTTGAGTGATCCTTCACCAAGTAAAAAAGATAAACAGCTAAGTTTTGGCACCATTAAGTTGCTTTTAAAGTCTATCGTATTGTAGAGACGTTAGAAAGGATGTACTGAATCATGGAAGTAGCAGCCTTTAAATGTCTCATCAGTTTGGGAGTGAAAAGAAATAGGAGAGATGTGGGATTTGTCTTTTTGTTTTGGTTGGATATGAAACTGGAGAGAGAAGCTGAGTTACAGCAGATTAGTAGTCCAGATGCCAGCAAAGGAAACATATTTAGCTAAACTTACTCTTAAGTATTTAATGTATGATAATGTGAACTATGTAATATCTGCAGATGGCTTGTAAATGGAACTGCCCTGAATTGTGCCAAGCTGGTACTGGGAAAGAACAAGAGCCTAAAAGACCTGTATTAAGGTTGCAATCCCAAATCATGATGATATGAATCATGATAATATTTTTTGATAAGGCTTTAGTGCCACGATCACATACTATTTACGTGGCTAGAGGACTTGAACTTTATTTGCTTCAAATTGCAAAGAATGCCAGAAGGGAAAGAATGGTCCTACCATAGGGATAAGTGACTTTTAGCCTCAAGGGACTAAATTTTATTTCCACATCTGATAAAAAACACTTAGTAAGGTTATGCAAATTGCTTACACCAACTTGGTTAGATACTGCATGCTGTTAACTTCCTACCCTCAGAATCCAAGCAGTCAGATTTCTCAGGTGCTGAGCATTTGCTGCTGCTCTAGCTGAAATTAAAGGAAGTGATGTTCTGGACACATCTTACAAACTGATAAGCAACCTCAGAAGTCAAGTGGCACACTTCCCAAACGGGCACTTAGAATAAATGGTGACTTTTTACTTCTTTTTCTCACCTCAGCTCTCTAATGGTAAGATCAGGAATACTTAATCTCATAGTAGTCTACTATTTCTGAAGCACTTTGAGGATACTGTGGTGCTGAGCACTACAGAGGATCCTGTGAGGAAATCTGAACCCATCTTCAGAGCTGGACTGGAATACTGTTCAATAAAGAAGGCCCTACAGCTGCACATTGAACAATGCAGAAAAAAACAATGACACCACCACTGAGTAACTGTCCATCTTGTGTGCTTAGCAAGACAGTCCAAAGACAGCATAATTAAAGGCTGTAACCTAAATGCTACACTCAAAAAGGCTGCATTAAGGTTACAAAGGCAACGTGACTTTGGCAATTTCTAGCATATCAGTGCTCAAATTTCTATTGCAACATTCTTTTAACATAGATTTTTTTTGTGGGTAATTAATACTAAGTTCTTCTTTACTCTTCAGAAAAAAGTAACAATGCATTGATTTGATGAAATGCTGCATACATCCCCATTTAAATTTGGACACTACGAAAGAGTAGGCAAAGTATATTTTATTCCCCTGACTTAGCAGGACAGGGTTTATCTGTATTTAAGATTGCTGCTGTTTAGCACAAACTTTGATTAGGCTACTGGGACTGATCTTGAAAGAAATTGCCATGGATTCTGCAGTGAGCGGGAGCAGCCATGAGTTTGTGCATGAAACTAGGCACAGATATTCATTAGCTAAATTTAGCATTATTTCACTAATTAGTTTTCTATTTTATCATGCTTATAACATTTTTTAACATCAGCCTGGAGCAATGTATCTCCCAATCCTGCAAAGCAGTGACTTCACTGCAATTACTCAGATGTTGTATCTATGTGTGTATTTGCAATTGAATATTTGTTAAAATGATTTGTAGGCTTAGGTCAAATTATTTTACTTGACCATCAGCATCACTCTGGTTTGGTCAGGAATTCTTTGCAAATTTCCAGTACAGGTACTGGTCAGTCTGATCTCTATTCTTTCTAAGCTGTTCTGTGCATCCAGATTTCTCTATTGCATTTGTCAGTGCATGCAAGAAGTCTATCATTTTCCCAGCTCAGGCAATATGAGCACAGTAGAGGGAGGGAAGAAGAAATGGCTTCTTAAAATGTAGTTATTTCATTACATAAAAAGTGATTAAAGCATCTGCTTTAGTTTTCATAATAAGATGCTGCAAATCTGTTAACAGCTAGAACAGTTTAAGATTATTTTGAAAATGGGAAATAGTGTATTTTCTAACAAAATTGCCAATTCTTCATTGAAGAAAGTGTGTTTCTTATAAAAATAACTAACTGAAGAATGGCTTACTCTGAGACACAGCACATATTTTTTTAATACCTTGCCTTAAACTTTGACATGACAGGTTCAGCTGCAACCCTGACTACATTCACACGCCTCCCCCTCCTCCTTCATCCTCTAACCAATGATTCCTGCCTTCTCTCCCCACCGGGCTGCACCAAGTTACTTCTTGAAGTGTGCTAAGACACACTTTCATTTTTGTTTGGTGATCTGTTTCTGTCCTAGATCAGTACTGTGGCAGGATCACATGTGCCTTGTATCGAAAGGCTTCAACACTAGTTTGCTTCAAATATCAAGTGGTCCTGTTTTTGAAGTGCTTTCTGATTTAAAAGTGTTCAGCAATGCTAGTTCAGTTTGCAGGACAGGTGATCCTTTGTATGTACCTTCATTTTTTCATTTGGTTGCTGGAGAAGGAACGCATTTGCAATTAAACAAAATGTAAAAGCAATTACAATCAACCACACCACCAGATGGAGCTTCTTTTCTGCCTTTCCAACTGAGGGTGCTGAAACCGTGGTACTGAATTCACTGGGACTGTGGGACTTAACTGTCAATTTATAGTCAATGAAATAGAAAAATCTCTCTCTTTTTTTTTTTTCTTTTTCTTTTTTTTTTTTTTTTTCTTTTTTTGTTTTTCTTTTCTTTTTGACTTCTGTTTATGCAGGGCTGAGCATCCCTGCATTCATGTATGGCTGTTTCAGTGATCTTTATCTGTATACTGTTAATGATAGCTATTGTGCCAGTCCTTTGCTTTTGCAGGGTTAGGCTACAGCACGAAGTCCTGCTTCTTGTTCATGCACTTTTCGAGTATGGGCTTACTTGTTAGAATGGCACAGTAATATTAAAGCAGCACATATCTTTCCTACTGTAAAAACTATTAACATGCTTTGGAAATGCAAACCTCTTTATTCAGACCGCTACATAATATATTTTATTCACTGAAATTCAACTCTGAAGTTCTGTTTTGTGCTTTTAGCAGTACTGTAGTGTGCTACAGACACCTCCTTGCTGGCACATACCTGCATCAGCTCACGGTACAATGTTCCTAAGTCATGCAAATCAATATAAATAACTGTGATAAACATCCTCTCTCCTACAGGATATCTACCGTCAGGTACTGGTTTGCTGTCTGCTATCACAGCTATCATAGCAACTGGTTCCAAACTGTGAGACAATCCTGGGGAACTGCAAAGAGACAGGGTTAATTTCATTCCTTTTTGGTGGGCTGGAAAACCAAACATTCAGGCAAATGATTTTTAACATTAAGTTTATACAACAAGATTGCTTGCAAAGTCTATCCCCTTGTTTTAACCCAAGTGAAAGAAATGATCCTGACATACAGCTTACCCGGCTGTCACTGCTGGACTGAAAAGGTTGGCCTGTGTTTGCCAGAAGTTACTAGAACAGGCTATATTGCACAACTCAGTTTTCCCAAAAGACAGGGAGGTATCTGAGCTGATGAGGTCAGGTTTCCATTCCATTATGCTATGTCAAACACAACCCTAAAGACCAGCAGAGGCTTTGCCAGCTGACTTCATGAAGGTCCTTCTGACCAGCCAGCCAATTCTCTTGCCCAAGGAGAGTCCAAATGAGCTCATGCTGCTATTGATTTTGAGTGAGCAACATGCCTTGCTGCTTGTGACCAACACAGAAATACAAAACAGAATCCATGTGGGCACAAGTTTGTGTCATTTTCCATTTTCATGTCTCATTTCCAACAGGCAGATATCTAAAGCCTTAGAAGGAGAAAACAAAGGGCAGGAAAATTGAATGCCTCAGACATGTAATGTTCATGTGCTCAACAATTCAACAAGTTGGTCTAGAGATGTGTTATTTAGTTGTTTATATACTTTCTAGGAGTTCAAGCATTTGGAATTTTGGAGTGTCCTTAGCCAGGAGGTGAACATATTTTTTCTCTGAGTAAATAGCCTTACAGAGCTTTAGAAAAACGTTTTTTGTTTTCCAGAGGCAGTCTGCTAGGTGGCAGGGCAGGAGCAAAATCCAGCAATTTAAGACAGATGACAAGAAAAAAACATCAATTACTCTAATAGCCCAGCAACAGTCTTGGGGGTAGAATGCCCCTTATATTAAACTCTGGGTAAAATGGAGCTTGCTTTCTTAAGTCCAAAAGAATATATAAGCATAATAAAGGGCAAGAACGTGATCCATATTATTTTTTTGTTGTTTGCTAAATAAAAAAATATACATAAACATAGAGGTTTTACATGTGAGAAGCTGGATCCTAGTGCTCATCAGAAACCTTTGAAAGAGATGTGGTTCTGCAACTTTCTGGAGATCCACGTTAAAACAAACAAAACCCGTAAAACAAAACCCTTTTCAACTCCTATGCTGCAAATACTTTTTGTAAGCTGAAGCCATTTTTCTCACTGATAATCTGAACTTTTCACTTTCAAAGACTGTCTATCTGTGTTAAACTGTTGAAATGCAACTGACAGGATGGCAGTTTGTACATGGGAGGGTTTTTTTATAATGATACAATTTACTGATTAAAAAACTGACAAATTGCTTGAGATTTTCAGTGTATCACACAAATATAAAAAGCTTGGATAAGTATTTTTTAAGACAAATTGAATCAAATTAAATCAAATCTTGACACCTAAGAGCCACAAGAACCAAATAACACTTTTGAAATCTTTGTGAGTTGAAAGGTTTTGTGCAACATGGTTTTGTCACAGTTAATGCCAACTCCAGTCTGAATGTAGTGTTTGTTCCAGCACTCAGAATCTTTTTCATATGATTTCTGCAAAACAGAAAGTAAAAAGAAAAAAAGATTAATTGTTTTTTTGCCATTACTATGTATTTGCTTGTCACAAGGAATGTGCTTTATTTTATACCAGATGCAGAGAAATCTCAGACCTACTGAAACCAATTACAAAACTCCAGCTTCAAAGAGATCAGCATTTCACCCAAGTAATGGGATGTTCCTTTCCTTATTGCCAAATGCTCGGTGTAAGTAACAGAAAAGGATATTCCACATCATTACAGGAAACGCAGCCATTGCTGTAGTTCAGGAAAACTGAACAAATATATTTTCATATATTTAAAGTAATCGCTACAACCATAAGGATTGTCAGATGCAAGTCTGCTGAGACACAAGACAAATTAACCAGCAGATGTCTCTGAAATGGATTGTCTGAGAGACTCAAAGTTCTAAAGAACTTTGCCTGCTGACCATCCTGCAGAAATTAGGTTTAAATCTTTGTATTTAAGATTTGGATTTAAAGTAATCACTTCTACATATTTGTTTCCATGTCAGTAATTTTTCCATTACAGATCTAATGCATGCCTTTTTGGAGTACAGCTGCTCAGTTTTCCTGAATAAGGAAGAGAATCAGGTCTGATAATCTAACTTCTGAATAATTTCTATTCGTATTGTATAGAGCCACTGATCTTTTCATTCAGTGTTTGAACATCCTCACAAAGATAGTAAACTGAAATTCTATCCTTATTAAAAACACTGACAAACTAGAATTTCCCACAGGATAGGGAGCTTTTTTTTTTTTTTTTTTTTTTTTAAATAATTGAGGAGGCTATTAATATCCTTCCTGCCATTTTTGTCCAAGCAATGTGACTGTTAAAATTGAGATGAAGAACTACATGATTTTCAAAGTGAAGCAAAAAAGTTCATTCAGAATGAATGCTGCTAGAATTTATGAAAAGATGTTATTAATTTTGTGTATGAACAGTGGTAATCCCTCTGTATTTCTAAATCCGTGAAAATTGTTTCACAGTGCTTAGGAGTCATTACTCATTCATGTTTTCTGATAAGCCATTGTCACAGGAGATTTTCTTCTAAAAGACTTGAGTGGGAAATTGGAGAGATTTGGCACATTTGAACGAGGTACATCCAGAAGTAGAACACTTTCCGCTTGCACTAACTGGAAAATCTGCTAGTTTGGGATTTGAAGGTTGAAGCTAATATTAAAAGTGCAGAAAAAGCAATGATGAACAGTGTTTGAATGGGCTTCTGGATTACATTGTGTGGTTGAGTTGAATCAGCAGAATCCTCCAGTTACTTGACTCTGGGTTTCTGCAAACAAGTATTTTCATGTTCATTTTGTGTCCAAACGATGACAACTATTGAGCCAAGCAGCTCGACAAATGTATGAAATTGCACATCAAATAGAGCTCTGAACCAAAACATCTGTCCTAATGAATCCTGAGAAATACATACCCATGCAATCATAGTCAGAAAAACAAAACCATAGATCACTTACCACTGATTTGAGCTTTCATTTTATAAATATATATATATATATATATTTAATTTCATTCAGTATCCATCTTAGGATACAAATGCTCCTGCAAGATGTGTGTGTTCAAAGCAGGATGGGGACAAGGTGGGCAGTTAGGAAATAAGGGGGAAACGAAAAAAGAAGGTGCTGTGTTGATTCTGTATGTAGTTTATGACCTTAAACACAACTGGTCAAAGCTCAGGGAATACAAAAAGCCTCCTGACTGTGAATCTGCTCCCTGTCTCTTGCTAGGAAATCCCTCTGCTTTAATCTCAACATTTTCTTTAGTAACAGAGAAGGTAAATAGTACTTAGAAATCCAAGACCCACATTGCCCCATTCTTTTAAGTGAATCCATTTTGAAATACTTAAGAAACAACACTAAATGCCTCCTTAGCTAATGTCCACTGGCATACTTTATCGCATAGTTGAACATCTGTTATAAAGGTTTATCTGATTTTAAATTACTCCCTTCCAGAAGGGTAGCAATTGATTACCACTGAAAATCGACTTCCCTTTGTGTGCCATTAATTGCCTGATTTAAATTCTCTTCATACAATAAGGATTCCTCTTGCTTAACTGCTTTGCCTTAATCCTGTGAACAGTAGTCCTTTTTTCAGGCCTGTCTCCCAGAGTTATGGAATATATAAAAAATGTATATTAATTGCTAAAATATTACTTAACTTTTAACTATATTTGCAGCATGTTGCTCTTTTTGCTTTCCCTTATTTTGGCTGAACCTTTCCCATTTCTCTCTAATTTCTAGACAGCCAAATGGTCTTGCCTTATCAGCAAATGGTACATTTCTTCCCTTTACTGCCTAAAACATTCGTTAGTGATTTGGCAAGACGAAAAAGCATGCATTAGTGGAATAAACACCACATGAGGAAGTAAAGGTTGGCTTCTTAATTACTCTTTTCTTCACCATAAACCAGATACTACTTCAAAAAAGGAAAGTAGTAGTGTCGTACTCTTGAAGACATTGTAAATGCTAAGCACCATTAACTCCACGCCACCTTTTTATTTTTCTTCATTCCAAGTTGGTAATTTGAGGTGCCCAAGACAGGCAAGTCGTGAGGTCCCATTTCCAGGCAGAGGTAACACTTGCACTGCAACTTGCTTTCATCAAAATGACTGCTGTCAGGCCAGTGGCCCAGTGTTGTTGCCTACTGCTGTGTTACACCACTGGTGTGTTGGGAGTGACAGGGAAAGCAGCCAAAGCCATGCCTGCCTGCCTGCCAGCAGCCGTGTGCAGGAAAACCATCACTCCCCTCCTTCTTGTGCTGCATCACAGATGAGTAACTGAGGAGGATGCTCTGTAGTGTACTCCTGTTAAGCTGGAGCTGGTTAGTTCAAAGAGCTTGAACAGTGGCACAGCAGCTCACCTGGACTGGAGCAGGCAAGGGAGAGCTCCTGTGAAGACTTGAGCCAAAAGGCTGGTGAATGCAGCCGCTTGCAGCCACGTGCTGGTGACAAGCAGTTGATGGCAAACTGGTACTTGTTGTGTTTTCCGTTAGCACAGCTGGTGCCAGGGGGAATGTTTGTCCTCCATTCCTCTTCTTACAATGTTCTGAATTGAAAGACTAACAAGAGTCTGATAATTTGGCACACCTGAGTAACTACTCGCTGTTCAATTCTTCGGTCAAGGTGCAGTAAGAACATCCTCACAGCAGTATCTGAGAAGAAAACTGTTTAGTGATGTTTCTCCTGCTTTGACATTCATTCCTCTGGGAGATCCAGACAGCACACTCAGTTGAACTGCCCTGTACTCACTCAAGCTGGGAATTCACTCAAGTTTTTGGCAACCAGACTGATGCTAAAAATAAAACTAACTACGCAAAACAAACAAAAAAACCCAACCCTCTGATAAATCCATAGTGGGAGTGCATTGCTTCGCAAAACACTGTTTTATTTGCATATGCTTTTTAGTGTCTCCTCCACGGAAGAAAGTAAGAACGGGGGAAGTTTAATGAGGTAGCATGCTTGCAATCGTCCGTGCAAGTCACCCCCAGACAATAGCAGAGGCAGGCACAGAGTACAGAACTCAGTTTGGAAAATTCAGACATATGGATCTCACCATGCTAACAGAAGTATTTGTCACGAGGATGTTGTTTGGTATATATTACACTCAGAAAATAAAACCGAGGGGGATTCTCTTTATTTGTTTGATAGGTAAAGCATTTTAGGGGGTTGGTTTTTTTTGTTGTTTTGCTGGTAAGTGGAAACTTTGAAGACATTCTGACTTTCAAAACGGGGGTGTGTGCACGTGGGCGCGCGTTCCTGAGCTCTTGACTTCCCATGGGCAGATCCTGATCCCAACTGTGGGGGGAAAACGGTCAGAGATTTGCTAACAAAACGTATCACGGTTTAGAAAGCGAATACCTTTGGTGTTCGTTTTACCTTTGGGGTCTCGTCCTCGCGTTCGGGTCTCAAAGCTTTTCTCTGCGGTTAGGAGGGCTGGACACCGATTTAAACGTCAAAACTGGGGGAGCCTCAAACCCTCCGCTGCAGATAGACGGAAACTTGACGACGAGCGCGGCCCGGGGCAGACCGGGCGCTCGAGAAGGCGGCGAGGAGGAGGTTGCAGGAGGAGGAGCGGGGGGGGATGTGGCTCAGGGCGGCCCGAAGGGGCGGCTCGGCTCCCCACTTTTGCCCCCGGGGGCACGACTACGACTCCTCGGTGGTACCGACGCGGTGCTGGGCGACGTCCTGCTTTAATGCTGACTCTCTGCGGGTTTTCTTCGGGGTATCTCCCGGTGGGGAGGGGAGCGTAAATCATTATCACGATGCTAAGGAATTACAATAATAATGAAGTCTGCTCCAGCAGCCCGTGACCCCGCGTTTCCCCCCCGGGCTGGCTCT